TTTTCTTTCAAATCCTTGAAAATTTATGAGGAGGTTAGGGTGGAAGAATTCACTGCTGTCATCAAAAAGCTTTTGATTTCTCACTTTTATCCTTACTATTTTCTGAGCTTCTTTGTATTCATTTGAGTTGGGAATGGAACCCAGTGAATCATGTTATTTTTAAAGGGTATTGAGTGATTCCTACTGGTCAGTTTTTCTAGCATTAAAGATTTTCATTTTGTACCTTGTAGCAAGAAACTTGAATTGATTTCTTGGAATTATCCAAAGTATTTATAAGCTGACCTTGCTCTTTTCCTGCTTGTTCTAAAAATAAGTAGTTAGAGCATGTTGTTCAGTTTATTCGGAAAGAAATGTTATTTGAATGAAGCCATTGCACAAATGCTGTAGCACAAAAAACACTTGTCATCTTGAATGAGTCGTCATTTCACATAAAGTGGGTCACCAGTCTTAGGTTTAAATGTTCAGCTTACCTTTTTTTTTTTTTTTAAATTTATTTATTTAATTTATTTATTTTTGGCTGTGTCAGGTCTTCATTGCTGCATGCGGGCTTTCTCTAGTTGGTGGTGAGTGGGGGCTACTCTTCATTGCGGTGCGTGGGCTTCTCATCCCAGTGGCTGCTCTTGTTGGCGGAGCTCGGGCTCTAGGCACGCAGGCTCAGCAGCTGTGGCTCACGGGCTCTAGAGCACAGGCTCAGTAGTTGTGGTGCACGAGCTTCGTTGCTCCGGCACGAACCCGTGTCCCCTGCATCGGCAGGCGGACTCTCAACCGCTGCGCCACCAGGGAAGCCCCAATCTATTTTTATCATATACATCTGGCCATGGCCTTTGGCCCAAAGCACTCATATTCTGATCATCATATTTGTGAATATTAATATGATCTATATTTATGTCTGTCATCTCCACTATTCAAAATTTAATTTTATGTTCTTCCTTTAATAGATACCTGTATTTCAGAAGATATCCTTGAAAATTTAGCAGGCTTTCCATATCTTCAGACACTGATTTCTGGAATTTTGCATCTTAGAAAATAGTTGTGCTACCCTATTTATTGCAGTTAGTCCTGTTCAGACTTACGGAATCTCATTTTGTTTCTGTTACTTTTCCCTCATTCACAAAGTATTAGATATACATATGTCTTGCATAAGACTTGTATAAACTAAAAAACAATTGAGAATTTACAAAATTTCCCTGATTTTTTTTTTCATGTAAAGTAGCATCTGCAAGATTGAGCCACTAAAATAATGGCTAAAGCCACTAAAGCCACTTTCTTCAAATGAAAGAAAGGCATTTTCTTTCAAATCCTTGAAAATTTATGAGGAGGTTAGGGTGGAAGAATTCACTGCTGTCATCAAAAAGCTTTTGATTTCTCACTTTTATCCTTACTATTTTCTGAGCTTCTTTGTATTCATTTGAGTTGGGAATGGAACCCAGTGAATCATGTTATTTTTAAAGGGTATTGAGTGATTCCTACTGGTCAGTTTTTCTAGCATTAAAGATTTTCATTTTGTACCTTGTAGCAAGAAACTTGAATTGATTTCTTGGAATTATCCAAAGTATTTATAAGCTGACCTTGCTCTTTTCCTGCTTGTTCTAAAAATAAGTAGTTAGAGCATGTTGTTCAGTTTATTCGGAAAGAAATGTTATTTGAATGAAGCCATTGCACAAATGCTGTAGCACAAAAAACACTTGTCATCTTGAATGAGTCGTCATTTCACATAAAGTGGGTCACCAGTCTTAGGTTTAAATGTTCAGCTTACCTTTTTTTTTTTTTTTAAATTTATTTATTTAATTTATTTATTTTTGGCTGTGTCAGGTCTTCATTGCTGCATGCGGGCTTTCTCTAGTTGGTGGTGAGTGGGGGCTACTCTTCATTGCGGTGCGTGGGCTTCTCATCCCAGTGGCTGCTCTTGTTGGCGGAGCTCGGGCTCTAGGCACGCAGGCTCAGCAGCTGTGGCTCACGGGCTCTAGAGCACAGGCTCAGTAGTTGTGGTGCACGAGCTTCGTTGCTCCGCGGCATGTGGGATCTTCCTGGTCCAGGGCTCGAACCCGTGTCCCCTGCATTGGCAGGGGGATTCTTAACCACTGTGCCACCAGGGAAGCCCTAGCATGCCTTTTAAGTGCTATATGGGTGTGTTTAATTTTTTATCATTGGAATGTGAATTTTCTGAGAACAGGGATTTTTGTTGTTGAATCAGCCTATAAAAATATCATAGTTAAATGCATATTGTCAAGAAATTCTGTTTCTGATCTTGATTTCTCAGCGTTTACTCTCTAGGCTAAGCATCACAAATTGATACCATTTTCTTGTCCAGTAATACTGGAGGTCAGTTTGAAAATTATTAGGTATAATGTGATTTCAATACAGTGCTGCTTGTAGTAGAGAATGAATAATGGAAAAACCAAACTCTTCTTGATTATGGGTTTTGATAGAATCCTGGTGATTGTAGTCTGATCCTCAATCCCCATGACTCCTGTGTTCAAGTAACATGTGATCTGATGGTGCATATTAAAATGCTTTTGTGAGTTTAAAAAGATTTATGCAGGGTTTCCCTGGTGGCACAGTGGTTGAGAGTCCGCTTGCCGATGCAGGGGACACGGGTTCGTGCCCCGGTCCGGGAAGATCTCACATGCCGCGGAGCGGCTGGGCCCATGAGCCATGGCTGCTGAGCCTGTGCGTCCGGAGCCTGTGCTCCGCCACAGGAGAGGCCACAACAGTGAGAGGCCCGCGTACCGCAAAAAAAAAAAAAGATTTATGCAGTAGCTCTTCTTAAAGGAACTGGTGGAACTTCAGGTCTCTTCCTACTCTAAAAGGTTCTGAGTGTGCACCCCTCTTCTGGTTTGGGGCACTAAAGCATGGAGGCCATCTGGTTGATTTCCATTCATCCTTGGCAATATGTTGCCGGAAACATGGGGTAGCAAGGCCCCAGGCATGCTGTTAGCAAGTATGAATGTGGTAGTGCTGTTCTTTACCCACACCTAAAAAGGCGTATTGGAGGGATTCCCCCATTTATGCATCTGGAGAGACCAGACTGGCTTCTTCCCTCTACAGGGTCTTTGCACATGCTCATCCTTTACCCAAACTGCTTTCTCCCCACCTCCCATGATAGCCGTTCCATCTCAGCTCAGTGTTACTTCTCTCTTGAGTCCCATGCTGAATCACATTCCTTATTATATGCTCTCTTTTTCCTTCATGGTATTTTAAGTTCTTTATGATTACTTCTTTCTGTGCATCTTTGTTTGATTCTTTTAGTCCTGTGGACTGTAAGCTCCACATGAGCAGTGACCATATTGCTCTTGTTCTTCGTTGTGGCCTCCTGGTATAGCTCAGCTTTTGGCACGAAGAGTTGCTCAAAAATAATTGTCAAATGGGTCTCCTAAATGTGGGATTTGAACACCTGCTTCTGAGCAGAAGCAGGGTATTAGATGTAGCTAATTTCAGATTGCTGTTTTGCTGCAAGGCAGGGTATCTATGTAATTAAAACAATTGGTTATATTACATTTTTAAAGTTGAAAGTATAATGATTTGTTCTTTGAATCTTTTAAAAACTGTCATGACAAAATAGCCAAGTCAAAGTCATCATATCAAAATTCATACTTATATCCCCTGCCTGGCTCCTATCATTAGTTTTGCCTTATCCACTGCAGAAAACCTTCCCAAACCAGCCCTCTCCAATGTCAGTCACCGGAGTTAGCAAGGGGCATAAAGATGACATCATGCCACACCCACTCTACTGCTTTTAGATTGCTTTTGTGTTTTGTGCCATCTCCCACTTCGACTCTAAGGTCCTGTGGGAATGCTGGCCTTGCAGCCTCAGAGGTAACTCATCCCCCTTTCCCCAGGCACCCCTCCACTTCTGCCTTGTCATGCGTGGGACTGTGCTCCTCCTAAAGCTGGATTCTGATAAAATGTGTGGAATGACCAACAGAAAACTGAGACAATAATCTGTATTAATTTGGCAGCCATTTTCAAATCACTAAGAGTGGTTGCTCCTTATTTGCAAAACATAGTTTGATTTTACTCTTAAAAAGAGTTTGTGAGAAGCACCAAGGAAAGCTGTTAAAACAATGCAAAGGGCTTCCCTGGTGGAGCAGTGGTTGAGAGTCCGCCTGCCGACGCAGGGGACACGGGTTCGTGCCCCGGTCCGGGAAGATCCCACATGCCGCGGAGCAGCTGGGCCCGTGAGCCATGGCCGCTGAGCCTGCGCGTCCGGAGCCTGTGCTCCGCAACGGGAGAGGCCACAACAGTGAGAGGCCCGGGTACCGCAAAAAAAACCCCCAAAAAACAAAAACAATGCAGAGCTGTGTAGGTGGTGGTGGCAGTGGTGTTGGTGTTGGTGGTAGGAATGGGACCAGGCACTTTAATTTTACAGAACCAAACTGCTATTCCTGTTTAGTATGAATAAGGCTTTGAGGTGAGGTTTGGAAGTTGGGAGGACCTTTATTTGCTGCCTAAGTTTTCAGATAAGAATGACTCAAAAAATATTTGGTGAACTGAAAGCATCATTGGTCAGATTTGTTCCCAGGCCCTCCTCCTTTCACCATACCATCTGCTGTTTCACCATTAAAATGAAGCCAGGGGTAGACTGGATTGGGAAGAGGGTAATTCTAAAGGAAGTAGAAATGGGAAATAAAAGTGCACATCTTTGGGCCCTTAAACTATTGTTCACAGCCTCAAGAGAGAGAGAGGTTGTTGATGGAGAAGGCACATAGTCCTCATTCACACTGGACAGGGCACTCTACACCAAGAAGCAAAAGTCCCTGGCTTCCTTTCTTGAAGCAGTGAAAATAACATCATCTTCTTTGATGTTTATACCCTAAGATGTCTCTCTGTCCTCTCAGTGTCCTCATCAATGT